ATTCAGTCATACTTTTTTCATTGTTTAATCAAACTATATTTGAGTTTTAATTTCAATTACTTGGTGATGAGATTTGTTTAACATTTATTAAATCCTTTATAGATCCAGTCATGCTTCTTCTATCATTAAATTGAACTAATTGTTGAGTTTTAATCTCAATTTTACTTTATTGGCGGATTGATTACTGCTTTATGCTTGATGTCTATGGTCGATCTTTGATCTTGTTCTAATAAAATTGTGCGAATATGTCATAAGTCTAGATTCTAGGATTACATTTGTAAATTAAATTAGTTTTCACGATATATCTTCCGATTAGAGTATCGGGATGAAAGTCTCTAATTGAGTTATAAAACTGAATAATTGATGTGAATGATCCGATCCAATTGAGAGAATTCCGATACTTTACTGCTTCAAATTATTGATTTTAATTTCACCTTTCAACATTGAATCTTATTACACATTTAAGAGAACAATTCATCCATTTTTATCCTTTAAATATTTTTCTATCTCCCTGTGGATACGACACCCCAAAGCTGCACTACAATTACCGCGTTATTCTTTAGGCATAATCACTACCACCAGTAAGATCATTTGGCTTACTCAAACCCTCCACGACTTTCAGATTTCTAGCAAAGCTCCAGCATTGATTTTCTGTGACAACCAAGCAGCAATTTACATTGCTTCTAATCCTATCTTTCACAAACGCACTAACCACATAGAGATTGATTGTCATTTTGTTCAGAACAAGGTGGCGATGGATTTGTCAAGCTGATGTCAATTCGTTCTAATCATCAGTTAGCTGATATTTTTACAAAGGCTTTACCAGCCTCTCTGTTGTTTCCCTTACTCTCCAAGATGGGTGTGATTAATCCCCACCTTCCATCTTGAGGGGGAATAATAGAGTTGAAGTTGAGGATGAAGCTGAAGTTGAAACTGAGGATGAAGCTGGAGTTGATGAAACACGGCTGGACGGGAGCTGTCATTGTAATTGAAATCAGTTTAGTAGTTTTGTTAGTTAATACACGTGTCATCTTTGTATTGGTGTCAAATCAAGAATTAGTAGTTTGTTAGAATCATTCCTGTCTATTTATACCACAGAATTGTATTGTAAAGGTTGAGTTTGATTAATTGAAAGATCAATTCATTTTCCCTTTCTGTCATCTCCGTTCTCTGATGTTTACTTCAATTGTTTTGTTAAAAAACCACGGTCCCTAGATTCAAAACCTGGACCAAGCTATTAAGCTGTGTGTTAGATAGATTGAAATGAATAGCACTCGAACAAGTCAAGTCGTGCATCCCAAGCGTGTCTTTTCAACTATAAACTTAGACATGCATTAGTGCAAAGTATAATATTTGATATGTGTGGAATTATAACGATCAAGTAAGTTCTCAGTATTATGACTCATAAGACAAACCTTCCGCAATCTTTCCAACAATATACATCATAAGCATACGGTACTGAATCTTTTTCCAATAAATATGTTGTGGCTAGGATAACTGAAATTCTAAATGTTTTCCCGCATCACTGAATTCCAGAATCTTTTTCCCTTTCTCTAAAGATGTTATATGTGAAATTCCATCATCAAAGAACACTGGAATTTGAGGTGGAATGGCACAGCGTATCAACGGGTGCCTTTTGATCTTGAAAACTCCTATTTTCTTGCATAATCGATTCTCAGGTTCCTTCATCAACATGCCTCTAATGAGATCCCTTGCCTGAAAACTAACAATTGGTCTATCGGGAAATTTGAGGTTCTGAAATACAACATTGGTTAACATCTCTTCATTTTTAGTACCTATAAAGGGTGTCTTGACATAAAGAAGCTCGTACAAGGAAAATGCCAAATGTCCACCAATCAACGGCGCTCCCATGGCCTTCCCCTTTGATGATCTCTGGAGCCAAGTATTCATGTATACCGACAAAGGAATTGGATCGTGCCTCTGTTGGCTCAGCCACAAGTTGAGGTAATGACCTATCTTGGGTTGAAGCTTCAGCTTTTAGCTTCCTCCCTCTTGCCGTGGCAGGTTAAAGCTGAGGGCTAAAGAATGAAACCTGGCTAATGAGGTGAAGCTTCTGGAGAATGCTATGCAGGATGAGGGCAATAAGGTCCATGACATTATTAGGAGTCTTCGTCCTGAGTGAAATTTGGATTTTTTGGAGGTTTATGAAAAGGATGCCGATGGCACCTCTTTCCGTGAGCCACTCCGTTAGCTGCCGAAGATTCTAGCAATTCGTCCACTTTTGTCGAACCTACCCACCTTGTAAATTCTGCAACTATTCCTCCCAACGAAGCCACTTCGAAAAACAAACCAGCCAACGCTTCTATTAATGCTCTTCTCTCCTTGACACGAGTGTGCCCTTTGAGGGTAACACCCCAATTAGCCAAGATAACCCAATTTTTTATAATCTTCATCTATTTATCAATTTAAACGGATAGATTGCCTTTCTTCTCTCTTTTTCCCTTTTTTCTTAATGACATCTCATTTCTATTTGAACGAAAATGTCATTTCGACAAATTATTACTTAAATATCTTTTTTGGGCTTGCATCGTAATTCTCATTTGTTATTTTCAATCAACAGAATCTATCATCTTGTGTTGATTTACGTTTTGACAACAAGACTTTCAAATGAAAATTTATTAAATCATCGTAACAACATAAGGGAATGCGGGTTACTACCATCTCCCTTTATAAGTACTTTGCACATTATTACATGTCATGACATTTAAGTTTGTCTGGATGTGGCCTCGTCTTGTTTGAAAATAATTTCCTTTGAGGTGAAAATTAGTCACCGTATTCTTTTGGCTGGATAAAACTCGCCTCCAGTTGAAATTTCTTTGGCTGGACAGGCTTTGCCTTTAATTGAAATTTCGTTGACAGACTGTGACTTGCCTTTAGTTGTCTTATTTTTGCCAACCTTATTTCAGGTTCAGTATTGATTTATATTTCAAGACCCATGTTTCATTTAGTACATGCGAAGTTATCTTTACTAGCAGGCATGTTTTTCAACTTATCCTTCACAGCATCATACATGCTTTCTAGAAAATGACTTTCAAGCATGTTTTCATTCCTTTCAACCAAAAATATGGTATTACCTTTTGAGGGTTTTGGTTTTTGTAAATCGCTGAAATAACATTCTTGTGCGTCAGCTTGATTTCCCTTGACATTGGCTACCCTCGGGGTGAGTTTAAATTTCAGGTATAGGTGATAAATAGATGTCACTGCTTTCAATAGCTTTAAAGCGGATATTCCTAGGATTCATTATAATAAGATTTAATATCCATAACAAAGAAATCATGTCCTTGAAATGCAATTAGCTTTTCCTCAAGCTCAACTGTCAACGTAATTTGTCCCCTTAGGATCAAACTATCTTCAGTAAAACCATATAAGGTTTCGGCCATGGGCATCTAAGGGTGATCAATCTACATTTGGTCAAAAGCATTTCCAAACAAAATATTAACGGAATTGTCATTATCCACTAGCATGCGGCTAATGTAGGGATGACAAAAAAACTCGTTTATCCCGATACCAGTGGGGTAACACCCCGAATGTGGCCGGGATTACCCATCTAACCAAGTAAACGGGGCGATGGTCATTAAGCGGGTATGGGACGGGTACGGAAAATGCAGTCCCCGCCCCGCTATCTATCTCGTTTAAAGTTAATTTCAAATTTAAGTTTTTTATCGAACAAAAATAATAAATTTATCATCATTTTTAAAGAGAATATAAGTGTTTTTAACAAATTAGTAAAAAAGTAATAATATTTACTAACTAAAGACATTAAAAAAATAAAAGTAAAAAATAAAATAAATAAATAATTTTTAAAAAAATGGGTGATAAAATGGGGTAGGGGACCTGCCTCGCCCCACCCCCATACCCGATTAAACATCTCGTTTTAATCGGATATTGAGATGTGGTAAGGTAACAAAAATATCCGACGAGACGGGAGTGTGAATGGTCTACCCATCCCATACCCATCACGTTGCCATCCCTAGGCTAATGACAGTATGAGCTATTATAGCACATACTACCAATACATCGCAATGAGGATATATGATTTCACGCCCATAATTACTATCAAAAGTAATTGGAAGAGATGTAGGTTTAGGATTACTTCGAATTCAGAATGCTTCCTTATGGGCTTTCGGGCGGTAAGAAATGGGTTCCAACAAGAGATTTTGGTAAAACTTAGGTTAATTTGATTAAATTGGGTTTGGATGGAAATTAGAAATAGTAAAATTATATTTTGGATTTTTGATTAAATTAATTAGTTACCAAATTTATTTAAAAAAAAACTAATTTGACTCATTTAAAATTAAAAATTAAAAAAATTAGATAAATTCGGTTCTTGATATATGGCCGAAAACCAAACCTTACCAAGAACCAAACCAAATCCAAGAACCAAATCAAATCCGTCAGTTCTCGATTAAGATATCCTTTCGGGTATTTAACTTAAGAAGAACCACTTGGTTCAAGTCCGATTCGATTTGAGAGTTTTGTTCGACCCTATGGTCTAATTTTCACTAAAAATATATTTGGGAAAAACAAAATTTTCGGAAAATGGGCACAAGTGGGGCTTAGTCAAATCTGATCTGGCAAGTGTGACACCACGTGTACGTCCGCAATTGGTTTCCACATCTTTTTCCTTTCATACCACCTCTAAGCAAATCAAAGCCCCGCGCCTGTCTTTCTGTATAAAAATATATATGCTTCTCGTTCTCCCTGTAAAATTCGTAAGCATCACAGTTTGTAAATTATCCAATCAATCGATCGATTAATCACTGAATTGATTCAATGGCTGATAAGGCATTCAAGTACGTGATCCTCGGTGGTGGAGTCGCTGCCGTGAGTTTTTTCTCCATCGACCATTTCCCGACTTTATTATTCTGTTTTGATTATTTCGTATTGTTTTCTTTATTTTCAGATTAATTGTGTATTTGCTCTTTGTTCTTCGTGTTCTAAATAGCATTTTCCAACCCATAATTTCACATTTATTGTTTTTAATTTTTTTTAGTTAAAGGATTGACTTATATATTTTAATAGTATTCCAGTCATTACATAGTTATCCAGATCAAACAGTCCTAGTTTGTCCCCAAATTTAACTGACTCAGTCATTAGTCAAAGGTTTTATCCTAAAAAGCTTTTTATTTGTCTATTGCTCGTTGATATTATCGGAGGTGATCTTCGGTCACAATCTCAGCAAGCCTTTGTTTGTGATAAACAGTTCTACAGGCTCATGCAATTTTATATTTTTTAGCTTTAATAATACCTACTGTCTGAACTGGTTTACTGATATATGAAATTACCCGTGTTTTTACATAAAAAGTGGAAAAGTGCAGGACGCTCAAAGTTAAGTGGTGATGCACAATCTGTTTGTTTTGATTCGAGTTTCTACAGTTATGTGAAATTGCTTAGATATGAAAATAGTTAAGCATGTTGAATCCCTGCATTGATTGATATGAACCGTCAGATGCATTTTGTTTTAAGTGCTTTTCAACTATTGTTACATATTGTCTTACGATTATGGTTACTGAATCAAAATTTGCTTCTGCTGACAGGGATATGCTGCTAGAGAATTTGCCAACCAGGGAGTTAATCTGGGTGAACTGGCTATCATTTCTAAAGAGACGGTATGCACTTTGACAGTATTCTTTAAGACTATTATTATTAAGCAAAAAACTTTGGTACGCAGCTTTCATTGTCCCTGGCTAATGTAATGACAAATCTTCTTCCATATGTCAGATATTTGAACCAAAAAGATAAAGTCGTCGAGTGATTTACACTAACTGATTTAAGATTCTTATTTGGTCATTGCAAGTTACAAAATCGATAGAAAAAGTTATTTCTGTCTGTTGAGGACCTTTTTTCTTTGTCCTGCTTTATTTGATTCCACAAATTCTACTTCCTTGTTAACTTTTCCTAGCACATCAATGAAGTGTCGCGTGTCTTGACAATTTCTTAGTCCCCAGTTTCCACTTTCTATGTTATGTTGCTCTGACTTCAGGGTTATACCTTGTATGCTCATTTGATTCCCTTTAATTGAAAAGAAAATGAGTTTTGAATACTCCCTTCGTCCCATAATGATAATCCTATTTCTTTTTTCACACATATTAAAAAAATTTAGTTAATATAGTTCAAATAAAAAATTTTACTATCATTTTGCCTAATATACCTCTACATTAATGCAATCAATATTTAAAATAATTAAACTATTCTTTGTACTATTCATTGTTTAATGCAAGAATCAAGGTAACTAAAATTCCAAAGTCATCCAATACAAATACAAATGAATAAATGTCATGGAAGATGAAATGATTTTTTGGTTTTTAATTTATTGTTTCAACTACAATTGAATAATGGAATGATTTATATTTGTGATAACATTCGTGTAATTTATCCCTGTATAATACTTCGATTATATAATTGATGAGAGAGTTTATTCGTTGTTCTGATATTAAACCCTGTGTGCTTTTTTCTTTTGTTCTGATAGAATTAACCTGTCTCCCTCATCATAAAAATCCTCTTGCACAACAAGTAAAGTAGGGAAAAGTTTTGGGAGAATGTTTAAAATGTTTTATTGTGTGAATGTGCAATTGAAAATAATTTTGTAGCAAATCATAAAATAAATTAATGAGAATCAAACAGGCCTATATGACTTGTGCAATAATATAATAATATTCATGTATTTAAAATTGCACTCTATAGGCCATAAAAAAAGGCACTTGATATATAGAGCAAAATTTGGCACTATCGTACAACTCCTGTAATTTTTTTTTTCACTTGAAGGTTTTAATAACTAAATTCATTCATATTCAAATTTATAAAATGAGGCTTGTCATGTCCTTGGCGTGTTGGATTTGTGTCCCTTGCGT